TATGGGTTTGGGTTAGGTTTTAGGGTTTAGGGGTTGGCATGCGGGGTTTAGGTAGGGGGCTCAAGGGGTTTGGGGGTGCGGGCGGGGGTTCATATCGGGATTTTATCTAACAACGGTGCGGGTGGGAGTTCAAATAGGGGTTGGTTGGATCTCGACAGTGCTAAATCAAAACAAACCTTGACATCCCGAAACAAAACCTGTGAATCCCAGTTCACTCGCTGCCACACAACATATCCCAACACCTCGCAAAAAACAAACAATAATTACACATCATTGGCAGAGAAGGTGAAAACCTGACATTATCACTTATTTCAATTTTTTCAAGTCGCATCAGAGAATGCATTGAGTCATTCATCATGTATAGAGTCCAAGCAAGCAATGTCGATCACAATGGAAAACACAAATGAGTATGAAATTGCTCACAAAGACAATGTTGTGAAAACCAAGTGTCAGAATGTGAAGCATGGGCATCCATCAGCGACAACTAGAAGGTGAGGGAAAAAACCTGGAACAAATCTCTCTCTCTCTCTCTCTCTCTCTCTCTTTCTCTCTCTCTCTCTCTCTCTCTCTCTCTGATCTCGTAATGTGTTGTCCAATGTCTATGGCGTGTGTCACCAAAATATAAACAAAATCCTATGACATGAACGACATATGTGAAGACCTGTTTAATATCTAAACACCATCCACAACAAACTATAATACACCCTGCCTACCTGCAACTCGATGTCTGCGCAAAACATTGCATGGGACTGAAAATGAAAAGTCCTAATCACAAGAAGCAAAACCGCCACATATAGTATACAGACTAAAACAAAGTCAAGAATAGACAAACAACTTATCGTCGTCGTCGTCAACGACATCCGCCCTCGTCCTCGTCCGGGCAGCAACTACACCATCACCCACACGCCTAGTCTCGCCGGACACTGCACGAGCGGCCTCCTGTGCTCGTAGAACTCTCTCTCTCTCTCTCTCGTCCACCTTGGCCTGGACCATATCTCTAAGCAGAATGTGATGGACATCCTGCCTCTTCCGCGGTCCCACAGACATCTCCAAATCATCAGTCCCCGAGGAATACGGCCCTGGTGCAAAAGCAGCAGGGCGTGGTCTCCTGTCCCTAACATCCTCTTCTAAGATGCGGCCCGCCGTTCCTGTATCCGGCGGGTGGGTCGGAGGCGGATCGATAGCCGTCGAAAGGGTCAGCGCACGTGCCCCCGCTGCGGTGGTCCCCGTCCGTTATGTCGATGCACCTGTCACGTGTGCGCTGCGCTGTGTCAAAGGACCGGCCCCGGTAATGTCCGAACGTGCTCCAATCTCGCCCCGACCCCAACCTGCTGTATCCACCACAATGTCCCCCCCCTCGCGGCAACGGTGGAGGTCTCTGAAATGTGGGTATGGCAGCTAATCCTGGCTGCATGTCTCTCATCGCCTGAGTGACCTTCCTCACCGAACCTAATCCATAAGGCTCAGTCTTCATCCGCGACTGCGGAGAAAGACTGTCTAAACCTCTACCCTCCGAATGTCGTGTCCCTGGTCCTGATGTACGACCCTCTGATCCATCGCGCCCACTATCCCATGACCTCGTATTTGCCACGCATGCGGCCCTAATGCTCTCCATGAGCCCCACAAGATCCCCAGGGGGGGGGGTGACGCCTGTCATGGGAGAGGGCACAAACGGGCTACACGGTACATACGGTGGGGGGTCTCCCAAAACTCTCCTGCTGTCATCCTCCATCCGCCCCCGCCGATCTGCCGCTAGAGGATCCTCCCTCCCATCGCACTCCAAAACTGCAGCCGACATGGCGCCACCCAAGGGCAACATAGAAATTTCGTCCACAAGCGCGTCACAGCGGCCGGCGACTGCTGAAACGGCTGCCTGCTCGCCAGGTCCCTAAACTGCACACCGCTGTATTTGTGTAGTAGACACATTACCTACTCCTGCATCCGCTTCATGCCCTCCACCCGTGCTCCGCCTGTCCTCCTCGCATGCATCATGCCGAGCAACTACATCCGATCGTCCATGAGGTGCATCCCCTCCACCGACAGCCCCATCCCGACCTCCCTTCGCATCGTCATCCTCACCTCGAATAGGGTCAAGTCCCGGTCTGCAAACTCCGCCATCACCCTGCGAGGGTTGAGGGTCGTCCCCCCTCTAAACCTCCTCGGCATCCTGGGTCCGCTCCCCCGTACCGTGGGTATCACGACGATTCGTCGCGGCGACGAGTGCGATGCCCGTCTCAAGGGCGTGAGCAGCATCCAAGGTCGCTTTGATATCCCGTGTCACAGGACAGGACTGAGCGAGCGCCAACGCTCGCTGTCTCTCCTCTCGGTCCATCCTGTCCACATCCGTCTCCACATCCATCTCCTGAGTGGGTGGACAATCGACAACATCTCCCGTGCTCCGCATGGCCCGCCTGACGTACCCTCCATCCTCTGAGTCGTCTCTATCAACAAACTGCTCGAGGCACCCCCGTCAATATCCAATCCTCGTACAAACTAGCTGATAGGTGTCTCGCCCGCGACAACCGGGGCCTGTCCAACATCAAGCCCGGGGCCTGTCCAACATCAAGGGGCGTCGGGGGAGGTCCCTGCCCAGAAAATCGGTCAACGAGCCGGTCACGGCGACTAAGTCCCCTGTAGAGGCTGTAAGGCGGTGGGCAGCCTCGGATCTCCCCCTCTGAGGGGAAAGAGGAGTCTGTCCCCCCGATCGTCCATCTCCTCCTCCCCTGGCTTCCCCCCCCGCACCACGATCTCTCTCCTCCGCCAATCTCGCAGAACGTCGCTGGCCCTGCTGCCCCACGACAGTAATGTCTCGAGGGCCGTCATCACCTCCCAGTCTGGTGTCATCCGCACCCTTGTCAAAATCCATATCGTCGTCGGACTCGCTGCTGCCGTCATACCCTCTACCGTCCTCGTCACTGTCGGAGTCGATGGATGTACGCTGTCGCTGTTGAATGGACGGGCCCGGACGCTGCGCCTCTGCATGACTTAGCTGCCAACCACCGCAGGTGCAGGTGCAACATTGTCTCGTGGGCGAGGCGAAAGATGAGGACGGACTGAGGTCGACTCTCACGTCTCACGCCACATCCATGAAAGAGGAACATCATCGTCTGAAGACCGCCCCGACTCCACATCCAGGTCATCGGGATCTGACCATGGCTCCTCCTCAATCTCATCCTGCGCGAGAGGGTCGGGCTCAGGGTCGTACACAACGTCCTCCACGCTCCTCATGTGGCAGAAGAATCGTCGCTCGCCTGTCGAAGTATCTCTCCACGCTCGCGGGCTGTCGAGTGAGGGAACCCTTTCGCCCCTTCCGCACCTGTCTGTCCAGCTGCTCATTGGAGACCTTGTCCGCGGGGCGGACTCCCGAGTCACGGGGCTCCGGTCTCTCCTCCGCCGTGACGACGTCCTCGTCCTCCCATGGGAGGACGTACCCCACAACCCTCTCGTGACATCGAAGTAGTCTCAAATTGGTGGATATCTCCACCAAACGAGTGAGCTTGGTAAGACCAAGCTTGTTACCGCGCTTCACCTGAACGCGCTCGTGGACAGCCCAGTTCCTTTCCGCAGGAGAGACACTTGTCCATGTGTGCATTAGGCAAACAACGATACTTTGCAACAAAGGAACACCGTTCCCCCACTGCACCCACCACTGACCAACCACCGATGTCTCCTTCTCCCTCCTGCAACTCTCCGCATCTCTATCCCTGTCGGGCCGTCGCGACCGCCATACGTACAATCGCCCTCTCGACTGTGGAACTCCCTCAAAGTTGTCCTTAAATCCTGATAGCTGCCTGTCCGATCCCGCGTGCCGTCGAAGGTAAATGTCAGCCTCATCTGCCAACTCCCTCTCCTGATTTGTCCTCGTCGCCCCCTCGAATTAAGCAATGCTCCTGTGGCACGGGTTAAGGAGGTGAGCCATGCAATCAGCAGGCTCCAACATATGCCTCCTCAACACCTGCAGACCTCTAACAAGGGCGTTGAGCTCTGCACGACTGGTGCGCCGGGTAAGCGCCTGAGCCACCCTCTGGATGACCCTCTCTGACCATGACCACAAGCGTGACATCACGTGCCCCCCATGATTGAATCTGCTCAGCAACTGCATGATAGGTGTCATCAACTCGACAATGTCTTCGACGTCGTCCCAAAACGCAGCGAATCTGACCTGTCGCCGCACCCACCGCTACTGAAGCCAAAAGCTCCGCCTCCACGGTTGTCGCAACCACTCGTTGTTGATCATCATATCCTCAAGCGCGTGACGTCATTCCAATAGCCTCTCTAATATCAAGTAGTGCATGGCGAATCTGGTCTGCACTGGGTAAATGAGCTCTCGACCTCAACCAGAGGTGCCATTTGAAGCCGACGACGGCGCCATCACGATACTTCGAGTCTGACACTTAAGTGTCATAAGCGGTACTCGGATCCACGAGGGACCGCTTGATCGTGGGCGCTACATAGTACACCATCATTGCGACTGCTTGCCCACACTTGCATTGCGAGTCGATGTGAGTAGGTCTTGTGTCCACACAGTTTTATACTAAGTCTCGCACGCGACGCCTATCCGATTTCCGCATCGAAAAGTTATGGGGCGGCTACTGAAGGGACTAGGAGTGTTGTCGCGTTGTTTGATGTGCGTGTGTGTGTGTTTTATTTTTGTGTTCGTAGTGTGGTGTATGCGTGGTGAGTGGGATGCGTCCTAGTCGACCGACGTCAAGTCACGCTTAGGACCTCAGCCCCCCAAGATGTCGGTTCACGTGCGAGTCCGAAAGGCGTAATACCGCACGTACCCCCTATGCCACAGCGAACGATAAACGCCATCGGCTGGTCCACCTCTGCGATTGCAACTGATCAGCTTTCATACTGTGGACGAGTAGCTCTGTGGGGATACGCCCACCGAAGGGAGGTGACAGCTCCCGTAAGGTGGAGGTAAGTCGTACCTCGCGCAGGCTCTATCCTGTCGTAAGGGTTCGCGAGAGGTATGGCTGGCGCACTCGGCCAGAGCGGCTTGCGGAAGCTCCATGTATATTCGCGACGAGGATTTAGACCGACTCCTGCGTGACGCGGCCGGGAGGGTCCCGCGCTGCCCTGGTGCGGTGCCGGACCGATGCGCTCGACAGCGCTGTCTGCCCTTTGGCAGGGTGACGCGTGGAGAATCACCTGGAAATGATGAGGGCAGCCCCGTGTGACTGAATGAATCGCACGACCGCCCTTGCTCTGATGATCATGTCCTCCCTCTGTCCAGCGACACCATCTCGCCCGTCCTTGCCAATGTCTGACAACATCAGGTTGCAAACATGCACCGCACATAAAAGCCAAGTGATTGGACTGTATCGAAAATCCTTGTCCTGCGAAAGGAGTTTCACAGCCCCAACGTATGTCCCCGCAGAGTCCGTACAAATAGCATTGACGTTTTCAATGCCGGAGTCATCAAATATCTTCTTCCACCGCCTCACAACCACACTCGTCGTGTCCTGCTCAGCCCCGTCCCTCAGGACTGTCCTCAACAGGTATGCCCCTGAAGATCCGACTGCCAAAAAGTTTGCTATCTGATCAGCAGTGATGGATTTGCGATGGTCGCTCCTGTCATCACCACATCTCTCCTGAGTGTCTCCAGCATTTGCACAACGTCCTTGTGCTGCTGGATAATACCATCGCCACACATACGACGATGGTTGGGCACAAACGAAACCACCCGAGGGGGACATGGCGCGAGGTGCTTCCTGAACGTGTTGAACTTAGGCCTCCTCGCCGCGTGGAACGGGATGCCGTTGACATAGAACCACTGCAGGAAATACACGTGCAAGTCCTGCTGCCATGTTGGATCGAAGGAGTCATCCATGCGCGACTAACGAAACTTCTTCATGGCCCTGTCGCCGGCAAACCCTGCGAAGAAGTCTTCCTCTTCCTCGACGTCCCAATGTCAGTGACCACTCTCTTCTCTGCCCTCAACTCTCCGCGGTCGCGCTCCGCCTCCCTCTCAACATCGATTGGAACCTCCCCAGACCTGTCGTTGTCGGCCCGATAACCACCCTCAACACCTCCTCTCTTAGGCACCTCACACGCCCCTCCAGCCTCTTCAACGTCTTCCTCCGCCACTCGCTTAGGGTCATCTTCGTCCTCCTCTCCGAGTCTCCCTGTTTTTGACCAAGTTGTCCTCTCTTGTCTTCCCACCCCCTCTCCGCAAGGTACGCCTGTATCTTCTTCCGGTGGCTCTGATCAAAGTGGTATGCACACTTGTTCCAGATCTCAGCCAAATGTCCAATGTGGTTTGTGGGCAGTGATTCTTGATTGTGTAGTGCAACACGCACTTGCTCTGACTGCCGAAAAATTTCTGGTCACACAGCTTGCACTTCATGACGAAGTTGCCATTCTGGTTTGGCAGCGTCTGCCCCTTCTGCATCCATTTGAACCCAACAAACTTCAGCTCCGCCTCTCTCTGCCTCTCTTTGTTCACAGGGATGAACTCCCTTTGCGTCGTTTGCGGCCCCCGACGCTTGGGCGGCATCTCGAACGACGCACATACGGCCCGGGCCCCCGCCTTGGTCCAATCTGCTTTCGTGGTACCCGTTGTGCAGTGCTTGTGCTTCCAACCACCCAGCGGTCCCTCCTAGCAGGCCGGCATGCAGTGCCCTTGTGGCCCACGGCCCGGTGGTGCAGGGCGGCGTCACACACGCGCGTGAAAAAACAGCCCGCCCCAGCGCACCGGTCGTTTAGGCGTACAAGCCGTACGTGTGCTCGTACCGAGTCGTACGGATCGTACTTGTGCTCGTGCGGGTCGTAAGTGTGCTCGTACGGGCTGTACACGTGTACGTACGAGCCGTGGGTGCGTTCATACGGGCCTCTCTCTCTCTCTCTTTCTCACGCGCGCACGCGCACGCGAGTGCACACGTGCGTGCCCCCCGCACGTGCGCCGACTCTCTCTCTCTCTCTCTCTCTCTCTCTCTGGTGGCTCCTTGGCAGCTGCTCCCTCGACGTGGCGGCATCTCCCCAGCGGCTGCTCCCTCCACGTGGCGGCGACGGCGAGGCTCGACGTTGCAGATGGTGTCGTACGTACTCAACGTTTTAAGCATACGGCACGTACGCACGGCCTCCTCCGTATATACGTCGCGTGTCGCTGGAACGGGCCGTACTCTCTCTCTCTCTCTCTCTCTCTCTCTCTCTCTCTCTCTCTCTCTCTCTCTCTCTCGCTCGCTCGCTCTCTCTCCACATAGTTGGCTCTCTCTCTCTCTCTCTCCTCTCGACGGGCCATACCGGTCCGAATGTTTGAACGGTAGCCGCCCGTCCGTTTTAACCGTTGAGCGCCCTCCCAGACGGTCCGACGCCATTGAAAAATGAGCGTCCCGACTTTTTTTTTTTTTTTTTTTTCCTGCCCAGATTTTAACAAAAAAATAAAATTTCTTCAACAGCCCACTCCCCGCCCCCTCCCACCACGCCCTCGAACCCCCGACACTGTGGAACGTGCACCAGGGACGGCCGTACATACGGCTGTACGACAGAGGCCCCGTACGACGTACGGAGTGCTACACAACAAAGGGGCGTTGTTGGAAATGGATTTGTTCGAGGGGTTCGGAGCGGGTGCTGTGAACACTCCGTTCTGCTGCGAGCTCGCAATTGCAGGAGGTTTTGTTTTGGATCGAGAATTTTTTAACTTGTTGGAGCAGAAGGGTGTCGACCTCGACTTCCCCTGCAACATTGGCCCCGACCAACAACTGTCACTGCCCGTTCAGCTGTGCAGCGGTTGCGAATGCAGTGGGGCTCCGCCGGAAGGGGGGGATTTGGGTGTTGGTTCGACTACTCAACAGCATCGGGGTGTGACCCGTGGTCTCTTTGACGACAATGACGAGGACGCACCTCCACAGACGACGACTTCGCCGCTGAGGCAAAGAGATCGGTTTGTGCTGTCTATTCTCGGGGACCAGCAAGCCGCTCTAATTCGAGAGCAGTTGGCGCCGAATGCAAGCCATGTAGCCGTCGGTTAAGAGATCGATGTGGGAACTAACATGGGCCAGGGAACTGAGGAGGAATCCACGGGCGGAGAGGGCACGCACGACACTCCGCAAAAGAGAAGGGGAGATCATCAGGACGAGATGGTCGACTCTTCTAAGAAACTGAAGACAACAGGCCCGAGGACTGTAGGGAACAAACGGAAGGGAGTTGTGCAACCGGTTGAACGCGCTGAACGCGAGTTCAGGTTCAAACGCGCGCGTTCATACCCCCCGGGGCCGCGTTCAATCGCGTTCAAACGCGCTGCGCGCCACGTGGCGCAAAAAAATTGAACGCGACCCCGGAGGGTGCGCGCGCACGTCGCGGACTACGGGGTGGTGGGCCTCGTTCAACGAGGCCCGAAAGTGCAAAAAAAAGCCCCCCCGGAGGCCCACCCCCCCCACCGCGTCCCCCCCCGCCATATGTGAAGGGTCCTTTTTTGGGGGGGGGGGCGGTGGGGGAATCCCCCTAACACGGCTCAGACGACCCATGCAGACTATCTGAAGGGTCCTCACAGCCATGTAGCGCAGACCCCCCCACCAAAATGAAGGCAGACAGTAATATGAAGTAGAACACGAGCTGGCCAAATATATACTCAAGATTTGAATTCAAGTCTGTATTGCAGCAGTTATGGGTTGCTCACGTAGCTAGGCCGTGTTGGTCTCAGCACGTGATTCTCAGGGCTTGGCTGCACTACTCACCAAATGTGCAAAACTAGAATGAATCTTCTGCAGAACATGGAATAATACGCCATCATATGTTTTTTTTTTTGTGCATGTGGTGAGTAGAGGCCCTTAAGGCCACTGCACGTATTCCTAAGAAAAGAAAAAAGAGAAAAAAGAAAAACGATGAAAAAAAAAAACGAGAAAAAAAAAAACAAGAAAAAAGAAAAACGAGATTTTTTTCTCGTTTTTCTTTTCTTAGGAATACGTGTTGTGGCCCTAAAGGCCTTACTCACCACATGCACAAAAGACAAAACATATGGCGGTGTATTATTCCATGTTTTGCAGAAGATTCATTCTAGTTCTGCACATTTGGTGAGTAGTGCAGCCAAGCCCTGAGAATCACGTGCTGAGACCAACACGGCCTAGCTACGTGAGCAACCCATAACTGCTGCAACATAGACCTGAATTCGAATCTTGAGTATATATTCGGCCAGCTCGTGCTCTACTTCATATTCACTGTCTGCCTTGATTTTGGTGGGGGGGTCTGCGCTACATGGCTGCGAGGACCCTTCAGATAGCCTGCATGGGCCGTCTAAGCCGTGTTAGGGGGATTCCCCCACACCCCCCCAAAAAAAAGGACCCTTCACACACACACACACATTCACACACAGACAGACACAAATTCACACACACTTTTTTTTTTT